AGCTACCCAAGCTCCTTTTCATTTTTCTTCCCTGTCAGCATCATGACCCACATAGGGCAACAGGCACAAAACTGAGTTTGCCTTGTACAGCTGTGAAATCTTCAGCCAGTCCTTGCTGGAAATAGGAGATTAGGAAAGTATTCACCTCTACCCTATAACACAATTTGTGGTACTTTTTGACCAAAATTAAACAGAAATAATTTTTTAAAAAAACTTATAAAATGAATGATAATTCCTCTTTTTTTTTGTCTGTCTTTCCCAGAAATAAACTCTTTTTGTCTTTTTTGAGGTCATACCCTGGTTACTGCTGGACAAAACCCAATCAGATGGTAAATCTGAAAGCAGTGACAGAATGGAAAATATATCAAGAGCTTTGAAGCCATTACAACATTTTAATTACATGCTAAACTGTTTTTTCCACAAAGCAGTAGCCTTCCAGATGAAGGGACTGAGACTCAGGGTTGATGGTGGTTGCTGACACCCAGACGGCAGATTGTGTGGTCAATCCCTTCCAGTCAGCTTCAGCTAATAGTACTTCTAAACCATTGCCTTACTTATCTCACGATATTTTATAGCTATAATAATTATTTCATTTGACCTTTTGTTGACCACTGTCATTTACCCCACATTTTGGCACAAGGAAGGCTTATTACTGGCATTGTTCTCCCACCAGCAAGGAAATGCCTATCCCTCTGAAGACTGACAAATAGTTGGCTTGCATTATGCCCTTCATCACAACCATCCATCACCATCATCCTTTAATAAAATCTTTTCATTGCTAAGGCTAGTCTGACATGAAGGACTGGAAGTGTGGAGTGAGGACATAAGGGTAGTGGGGAAGCTGTGTTTAAACTCTAAGGCTCCTAGTCTGGATAAGATGCACTGGCAGGACTGAGAGATGCTCCTGCAACCTCACTGCATGCGTGTTGTGTGTGTAAGGAGATATAGTGAGCTTTGTTTTTAAAGAAAAACTCTGACTAAACACAGGTGAGGATCATGTGCTGTTCCCCAATGGCTAATGTAAGAGAAATCTACATTTTTCCTAGTTGCTTCTGGGCTGTTGGATATTTTAAAGGGAGAAGGCTGAATTTAAGGGTTACTGGGGCTGATAACAAAAGGAACAGAAGTGGCATGGCACAGCACCACGTACACGGGTCCTCATTCCTCCCTTGCAGGTCATTAGCAGGGTTGGGAGCAATAAACCTGGTTGTTGTCTCTGCTGCTGGAGCTGCAGTGCTAGCAGGAGTGTGTGGAGGGAACAGATTAGGCAGGAGGAGTAAAATGTGATTTAGTGGCTTTCAGAGCTGTCTGTTGAGAGCAGAGTACAGAGAGGCTTCAGGCTGGGTTCCTGTTTGCAGAGAGGCTGTTTTCTCTGACAGTCGTGTGCTGTCCTTTCTCCAGTCTCCTGCCACAAATGTGTCTTTCCCCTCTCTGTCTTTAGTTCCCAGATCACTGCTGTGTCCTCTGCCATCTCCCATGTGGCCTTTCCATACCCTGATGAGGTTTTCCATTCCCTGAAGCCCATGTGTCCCAGGCAGTGTCTTCTGACAGCTCAGTGGCATAGCTATTTGGCAGCAGAGCAGGTCACACAGCTATCTGGAGCCTGTGATGGAATATGCTCAGGTGCTGCAACAGGTACATATGTTATTTGGATAGCTGACATGGAAGAGGTGCAAAGGGATGGACCGTGCAGGTAGAGACGTCTGTGTTAATCACAAAGTGTGCAAAAACTGAGTTGTGCAAGTTGTAGATGCCCCATCCCTGGAAGTGTTCAAGGCCAGGTTGGATGAGGCTTTGAGCAACCTGTTGTAGTGGAGGGTTTCCCTGCCCATGGCAGGGGGGTTGGAACTCAATGATCTTTGAGGTCCCTTCCAACCCAAGCCATTCTATGATTCTGAGTAAGTTTTCATGTAAAGAGCAAAAGGTATGTGCCAGATGAAGCTTTTCCCCTTATTGCCAAGACTCATGTCCGTGTTCAAGAGTGAGACGAGACTTGAAGCAAACTTCTTTTTCCTTGACTTCCCTCACCAAAATTATAAAACTGGCTTTGCTGAAATGTTTCATGCATCCCTCTTTCTTCAAACAAAACACTCATCCAGAGAAACATCTCATGTAGTAAATGTTAGCCTCCTAACAGAGGTGTCAGACAATGTTAACTATCCAATATTGGTAGTAGCTCACATGCAGAATGCATTTCTGAGTCCCATTGTGCAACCTTTCCAGGTTTTATTCTCATAGTAAACCCTTTCATAGTTGCTTGTAGTTTTCTAGAAGTCAGCCAGAGCTGCATGTGGAGCTGCAACCATGCTGTCCTTGGAAGTGCAAGACAAGGATCAAGATGAAGGAGATAGCTGCTAAATTTGAACAACGAACAGTTTACTGGTCACCCATAGAAGGTTACAAGTTTGAGAAAATGTTGTAATCAATTAGCTTCAATTTGAAAAGGCGTAAATCTGTGCATAGGTTGGCTCCATAGGTCTCTGCTGATTGCTTCATTTGTCTGGTAGAAAATATTGCCACCATTTAACTTCTAGGAAAGTCTGATCCATTTATCTGGCGTGTTAGTAATGGGGAAGGGCAACCTTCAGTGGTTTATCCATGTTTATTAGGATGCTACAGTAGCACTAATTTTCTGAATCAGGCATGAGGAGGTGACTCAGGGCATCCCCGTGTGGTGTTTTCAGATATATCCATTGCTGTCTGAACATCAGAGTAACAATTGCTCTACCCCTCCTGTTATATATAACACATGGCTGTTACAACACGCACACAAGCAAAGAGTGTGAGCGTGTCCACTAGTGAGGAATTTGTGTAGTGGAGGGTTTCCCTGCCCATGGCAGGGGGCTTGGAACTAGAAGATCTTTGAGATCCCTTCCAACCCAAACTGTTCTATGATTCTATGATTCTGTAATTTGCAATTTGCCCCATGCTAGAAAAGGAACATGCTTGCAACAAGATACACTTTGCTGCTGTCACAAAAACTGGAGACATTTCTTATTTGTGCATTGCATATTAAAACATACTGAAGTTACTTAACCAGCAATATAGTTATCACTAAGATTTCAGTTAATTTCAACTGTATTTCTTTGGGAGGTTTACTTTTATTTGTAAATATGTGAAATCTTGATTTGGTTTTTGTGTATTATCTCAAGTATTTTAAAAATGGCGAAGTATATTTTGATTCAGACATCTCTGCATTCCTCTCTTGCTTTTTTCTTGTACATTTTAGTTTCAGTCTGACTAACAAAGAAATATTTAATGCAATATGTTTGGTTGATGATTTATTTGAGTTGAAATGTAGAAGGAAAATATGAAAAGCATGCCAGAATTGAAATGTGTTTCAAGGTTTTTGAAAAAAAATGCTTGTGAAAATATTTTTCTTGTCTTTGCTTTCCATCTGAAGACATTGCAGGGAATTCCAACTGAAAACAATTTGCTTAAAACATGTTGGAGTTTTATTTTTCAAAGCAGAAACAATTCCAAAGTGCTCGTTGTTTACACTTTTAATTTCTCTTCCTATTCAAGTACAGCTTGATGCAATAATCAACTTCAAAGAAAAAATCCACTACTTGATAAATGTTGCAATATATAGCTTATGAATTTTATATTTCTGTAAATGTATGTGCATATATACATTTTATTTTAGACCTATATAGACATAGTCTGGTACTTGTTTTACTGAACAGTTTTTAATTTAGCATAATGACTGTATTTGATTGCAAATCAATATTTTCAATGTTGTCATTATCAATGAGACAGAATCTTTTACCTGTTTAACAAAAAAAATCTTTGCAGTACAACATTAAAATTGATTAATTGAAATCAAGGAATCATTATTAACACTTGTGATTTGAATAATTGTGCTTTCAAAACAGTCCATATTGCTTTCAGAGGGCTTTCCTGGTCCATGCTGGGCGGATGGGAGCGATTCAGTGTCCCTGTTGCAGTAGCAGAGGTTTGCCTTAGTTGGCAAGGGCTGTACTTGTCATCCTCCTTGCAGCCTTGCTGAGAGGAGCTCCTGAGTGCTGTAGGTGTATATTATTATAGTGTTTCAGGGGCCAAGCCAGATGGAAGGTGTGGTACATATGGGAGGTTTCAGTTCTGTAGTTCTGTAGAAGCTGAGCAAAAAAAAGAAAAAAAAAGCAGTGAGTGAGAAGCATGTACAGCTGGGAGTTGAATAGAGTAAATCAGCGTAGAATTCCTTCTCCGGAGAACGAAGAGCATAAAAGCCCGATGGTAAGTCTTCACCAGGACAGCCGAGTGTGTCAGGGCACGGCCAGCCAGCCCCGCTGCACCCTTCGTCCTGGCAGCGCGCGGTGCCGTGGCGCCTGGCTTTGTGCATTTATTACATTGCCGGAGCGTGTCCGCCAGGCACAGGGCACAGGGCAGGGTGCTGCCAGCCGTGGGGCTGGGGCGCGTCCGTGGAAGCAGACCACCAAAGCGGGGGTGGAAGCTGTGGTAGGCATGTTAAGGTTATTCACTGGAGAGGGACTTTATTTTGTGGCTGCGCTTTGACAGCGGGGGAAGCGGGCAGAGGAGTGTGGCTTTTCTGCAGCAGAGTTAAGACACAGGCGACGTTAATTAGCTGAGAGGTTGAGGAATGTGAACAAAATGGGTAAGTGTTGATTTTATAGCTGGGCTAACTTGGTCATTGTCTAGGAGTGCCTTGTTGTTAATAATGACCGATAGCATTATCATGCCACCACCAGCTCCCAGTGTACTGTAAATTTTCTGGACATGAGGCAGGGGTGGGGGATGAAAGGCTTGTGGAGTTTTCTCGCCCTTTCTAATCTCATAGATGAGGCTGTGCCCCTCAGGGCTTTAAGTGTGATAGAGGCTGTAGCATAAGGTGGCATGAGGGGTGCTCATCATCTTGCTTTTGTAGAGATGGGACACCCCTCCGTGCCTCCCTATCCCTGGACTTCTAGCCTAGAACTTACATAAATATCAACAACATATTTTGTGACACTTTCATATTTTTTTTTCTCTTTTTTCCCAAGCATCCTCTTTGCAGACATAGAGGGTTTCACAAGTCTGGCCTCCCAATGCACTGCTCAGGAGCTGGTCATGACGCTGAACGAGCTCTTTGCCAGATTTGATAAGCTAGCAGCTGTAAGTTTTCTATTATAATTCTGATTTTTTTTTTTTTTCCTGTTGCAAGAATGACATACTGTGCTGGTTCACTGGATTTCTGTAAATATTCACTGCCCTAAAAGGCAAGCTATTGCAAGCATGAATATAAGCTGAATACTTCTCTCCTTTCTTATTATTATTTATTTATCTTTTAGGAGAACCACTGTTTACGTATCAAGATCCTGGGTGATTGCTATTACTGTGTGTCTGGGTTGCCAGAAGCAAGAGCTGACCATGCACACTGCTGTGTTGAAATGGGAATGGATATGATAGAGGCCATCTCGTAAGTACTGTATTCCCTATGGAGAATTTCAGAACAAATAGCCTGTAGATTCTCTTTCCCATTAGATCTTCCTTACATTAGTAGCAAGGTAGCCAAACCAGGGATCTGATGCCAGCAAAAAAGGAAACCAGCTGGAACAAGAAAACAAAATACAGTAAAGGTTTGACAGCAGGACAGACGCTTAAGTCCATTACAGCCACGTGGTTATCAGAGCTCAATCTGCTGATGAGAAAGGCAAAGGTTACTGTAATTACTGGAAGTCTCATTCCCAAAGGAGGATTCCAGTGAACTACAGAAATGGGAAATCAGAGGATTAATAATAACTTTATTACATTTCAGTCACTGTTCACTTATCTGTCTTTAAACGAGCTTTTTACTCACCTTGCAATTCCTCTGCTAAAGTCTGTCTTGTCTAGTTTAACTAATCCTTCTTACTTAAATTAATTATTGAAGAAAACCATAAAGTTGGTCTGGCACAGACTGGGACAGATCCAGGGTGTTTTTTCCTTTATTTCCACTTACTTCCCCGTCTTTATTTTCCCTTCTGAAACCCGTTCTGAAGCTTTGCCTGCTCCTGAGGTCAGACTAGCAATCCAGTGTTTGTCCAGACCATTCCTGTCTGTAGAGAGGAACAAATATGAGACTCATATCTAGTTATATTACTTGGGGGATTGCAGACAATGTTGAATATTGTTTGCATCAGATGAGCTTTCACTGGCGAATTCTTTCTGAATTCAGGGAAGGAAGATTTATTTGGTCATCTGAAGTGTATGCAAGTTTAGGCACAGAGTTCAGTCAGTTTTGAATGGTAACTGAGCTGACCTTAATATCTACATCATCCCTGCTGCACAGACTCTGCTTTTTCCCCTCTTTTCTATTTTTTTATTTTGTGAAAGCATTTTCTAAAGTATCAATGGTACCAACAGAGAAGCATAAGATCTCTGTGCAGTTCTCCTCTCATTCTGTTCAGTAAATTGATGGAGTTTCCACTTCATCTTTATAAAACTAGAGCTACATATTTGCTGAGCTTGATACAATACATCCTTACATTTGAATTTCTGCAAGGACAGGAATACTCACTCACATTTTTCAGCCTCATTTTCATAACACAGATACATAGTTTGAAAAGCAGTGTGTTCACCCAGAAGACCCCATTCAAAGAGCAGTACGCAGCAGCATTCCCTTGCTTTGTATACAGTGAACGCTGTCAGGATTCCTACCTTTACTTACCTGGTTTTAAACTCTATTGCTTTGCATTAGTCTTGTTTCAGAGTTTGTATACAAAACACAAAAGGAGTTGGAAGTAACTAGTTTTCAGTAGACCTTGAAAGGATGCTATTTCTTCCATGTGAAGTACAATTAAGTGGCAGGTGACAATATGTCTTGTCAAACACGAGAAGCAGCAATTCTTAGCCACGAGCCCTACAAAGAAGGTACAGTGTACATTGCCTAGAAGAGTCTCACTTTCTTCAGTAGTTAGCCTGATGAAATCCAGAGACCTTGACACGTTGCTGTGTAATCCCCCCCAAGGCTGAGTAACACCAGGATGTCTAGACTTCATTGATTAACTGCAACCCACCTTACCTTCAAATAAACATGGAGTTGAAGTGCACTCAATGTTTGTTTACAAATAGCTCTTCAGCAGCCTTTAAAACTTGTTTCCCACTTTATGCATGATGAACGCATTTAACAATCTTAATCTCTTAATAAGTCTGGAAGGTGACTCTGTTCTCACTACCCCTGCTTCCCCTTTCTCCAGCCCCTGCCACGTCCTCCTCCCCAAAGGATCAACATAAGAGGTTTCACAATTAATGTAACCAATAGGTAGTGAACATTTGATTGCAGCCTTCACCAACACTGGGCCCTGCCCACAGGCTGATTTCATCTGTGTGCAATAACAGCAGGGAGTGTGATCCCAGATCAGAAAGACGGAATTATTTTCAATGTACTGCTGGTATAAATGAAAGAAAAAAATAGAAAGGTAACAAAGTGTATTTCAATTGTCTATAAAGGATAACCAAACTCATTTTTTTACTGCAAAGTTTGGAGAAAATCACCTTCTTATCAATGACTGTACTGGGAGAAGTCCCCTGGTCTTGTGTCAGTAATGTGACTTGGTAGAGGGTGCATTAGGATTTGTAGCACTTGTGCAGCATGTTCTTCCTCCCTCCCTGGTGCTGTACCCACACTGCAGCTGCTGTTGTCATTGGAAGGATTCTGACTGCAGCTGCATTGTCATTACCCTGGTTCCTGATGCTTTCCCAAGTGTTGTGGTTGGAGCTCTTTCAGTTCATAAGCCTGTGGCACCTTACCCATATGCAGCTTCTCTTCCCTGCTAGAGAATCTCTGCTGCTTGTTAATAAAAATAATGAATGTCACTCAGGGAGTAGACAGTGAAATGTAAGTTAGGGGTTGTAAGAGGGTGGGAGCTGTTTCAACAAGAAATCATCTTGAACGGTCTTTTAAGGGGCATATTACACTGTGATGAGTGAGCTAGAGTCCAGAATTGGTCTATCTTTAATCATTCATTTTCATTAATAACTAAAGCATAAGTATTAGATCTGTCTTGATATTAGGAAGTTAGGAGGACTTACCTGTCCAGAGGATGTTATCTAGAAAGGACTAGAACCTGAAAACCAAAGAGGTTGAAATCTGGTAAGTATAAAGTACAACTTCATGCTGCAAGTAGCTAACTCAAAGAAAAGGACTGTGCTATGTGATGTAGGTGAATTGACTTATGAAACATGGACATTCTGGGAATGATGTGATCAGCAATAACGAGAAGCAAAGTTGTTCTGATGGCTTCGTCAAGACTTTCCCCTACCCGTACTCCTAAATATATTTTCCATGTGAACAGCTCTTGAAGTTAACTTTTGCCCTAAAAGGACAAAACCCACAAAGTATTCCAGCAGTCATTTTGGGATTAAGCAGAGCATCCAAAACCTCATTAAAATCAGCGCTTAAGTATTTGTAGCTGCCTGTTTGGAGTGACTGCAATAGATGTGGTTCTCTGGTTTTGCCGCTGTGACTGCAGCTGTAAGCCCTGTTCAAGCTTTCCAACTGCAGTGGGGTATTTCACACACATATCATATTTCATCTGTGGAAGAGCTGATGCTTGGTGCCATACAGACAAATTAAGATCTCTGAAATCATTTCCTTTTTCTCTTTGCAACATGCTATTACTCTTAATGAGGCTGAGTGCTGGCAGGTTGTGTCCAGCTTTGGTATGGAAATCAGAGACCAGCACTTTATTCCTTTTACTGCCCCAAAGATATTTTTTTAATGACTTCTCGATGTGAGCATGGGTTCAGAGTACATGGATTTACTCCAAGGGCTCCACTTTCTAATTAGTGCTCTGCTTGGCCATCCAGGCCATCCAAGAGCAGTACAGCCAGTCTGGTTTTGTTTTGTTGCCCTATTGTCGTGAATGAGTGGCACCGTGTGTATGTGTGAATAATTTATGGATCATTATGGATTTTTCTGTTCTGGGTGCAAGTTGTGCCGCCAACTACAACCATGCAGTTCTTAGCAATGTCCTTTTTTCCCATATCTCTTTTCAGATTAGTCCGGGAGGTGACAGGAGTAAATGTCAATATGAGGGTTGGAATCCACAGCGGGAGAGTTCACTGCGGGGTCTTGGGCCTTAGGAAGTGGCAGTTTGATGTGTGGTCCAATGACGTTACACTAGCCAACCACATGGAAGCAGGAGGCAAAGCTGGGTAAGTTGCTTCATCAAAGCTGTCGTGTTAATCTGTGTGTCGTTTTGTGCCTAACCTGTCACAGTGAGGTGGGGAAATGGGAGACAGAGCTTCAGAGAGTCTGTATGTCTGCTGTAAAATGAACCATGGGTGTAGTGGTTTAGGCACGTACAAATGTTAGCAAGGTTCCCTGTCTATATGTCCTTAGTTACAGAAAGTCTACAAAATCCCAAGATGGGCGTATTCTTCTGTGGCAAGAACTGAACTCCTTCTCTGAAACAAAGCTGATAGATACAATAGAAGTGAGCAGGTCTGTGCAAACACTAGCAGAGCTGGTCACAGTTACAAAGAGATATGACCGTATGTTAACAGCGTTTGCTGGAGAGCATCACAGCTATCCATGGATGTTGTATGAAGTGTTGTTTCAGACCAGGCTTTTGTTTTGAAACATTCCCATGAGAGAGCAGAATCAGTTCTTGTTTCACCACTATATGAACCAATTGAAGACTGAGTTGCTGCCAAGTTGACTTCATGAGATAATTTTTCTATGTGCCTTTCCATCTTTTCTCTGCTCTGGAAGAAAGCATGAGACTATAGTACTTGATAGGATACATCTACAAAGATGCTCTTGTACCACAGTGATTAATGTGATACAACAAAAAAGATACATGCTACAGTATATATTACCTGTGTCTGCTGAGCAGACATGTCCTTGGGAAGGGCCCATGTTTGCCAAAAAAATGTATCTGCTGTGCATTAGAGCCAAGTGAATAAAAGAATGAGTGCTTTGTATCTAAGGAGGTGCTTATAAATGGATATGTAAGATGCTTAACGTGAACACCTCTCTCTTTAAGAAGATGCCTCCTGGCCTGCTTCCTTTAAAACAGATGAAACTCCTGTACTACATCTGTAAGAGTAGTGGTGTGGCTAAATAAATTGTTTTTTATTGCTTGTTTGTTCCAGTACATGGAACCTGTCACTGACAGAAACTGCTTTTTAGGTGACAAGTTTTCAGAGCTTACAAAACTGGCTTGTCTTTTGTCTCATTCAAGGCGCATCCACATAACAAAAGCAACCCTGAACTATCTCAATGGAGACTATGAGGTGGAGCTGGGCTTTGGAGGGGAGCGCAACGCTTATCTGAAAGAGCACAGTATTGAGACCTTCTTGATTGTACGGTGCAGCCAGAAGCGGGTAAGACCAAACAAACTAATGCAGGTTTTAGGTACTTTTAATAACTAGGTGGTCTCCAAAACATCAAAGTAGAGTGAACACCAACCTTTATAGGTGAGTGAGTTGACTACCTGACCTTCAGTGACAAAAATTCCTGTTTCTCTCTCCTCTTCCTAAACTTCTGCATGCATAGAAGAGAGTGTAGCCACCTTCTGAATAAGGTTTCTGCACCAAGTACTTTCTAGATCTATCAAAGAAGCTGTCCTGAGTTGTTTTCAAAATAATTTTGAAGAATGTTTTTAATATAGTTGTGTATTTTTCCCATTAAATTTGATACTTGTAAAAGTTCTTAAAGCAATAGATTAAAGCCACAAAGATTTCTTCCCTGTCACATTACAGACAGGTGGTTTTGTCCACCTGCTCATTGTATTGCCATAAACATAAAGATTAGAGCAGTTCTCATTACTGTTCAGCCTCTGTTTCTGAAGATGGGAAAATCTGGCCTACTGTAATGATGGATGATCACTGTGACAGTGGAATGAGATCATACCTACTGCTGTGACACAGGTCAGGCTGCACAAAATAAGGCTATTAGGGCATTACTGACTTGAACTTGAGTCAAGTCAAACTCAAGTGGACTTCAGCCAATATATCTTCTTTTTGTGACACTTCTAATAACAGTTAGGGTTAATGGGTTAATGTTATCACTAGCTTATATTCTTTTAAATAATGGTAGACTGTAATACTAGCAAAGGACTTTTTTGATCATTTAGTTGAGCCTGGCCAATAATATTTCTCTAAGTGATTTCTGCACTATAGAGACTGCTTTACTGTTCACAGTACGGGCAAGTGATTGTCCTGAACTGAAAATCATTGCAAGTATTTCTGAATCTAAGACCAATTAAACCTCCCCACAGCCGTAAATATGACTACCGTGAGATTAAATTAATTAGTGTTTTGAGACGTGTTCCAATAGCATGGTTGTTTTCAATAGCTGTAACACCTATACAGAAATATTTTGCTACCATTGCCTCATTTCCTGAGAGAATGGAAGCCTCAAATCTCCTTAATGGATATTGTGTAAAAAATCTCCAAGAAAATCCCTTATCATCTGCTAAAGAGAGAAGCTGATGTTTTGGTTTCTATCTGCTCATAAGAGAAATCTCATTAACAATTGTCAATCTTCAAAAGAGGATTAGAGCTTGCAGTGCAAGATTATTGCTTCCTGAGCATCACTGCCTGTCAGTGGGCCAGTTGATGTTTATACCTAAACCACTTTTTCTTTGCTGAGTAGATCATAGAATATAAACCAAAATGCTGTTATGGTCAGGCCCCATCTCCTGGGATGGAGAAGCTATATTGACTTCTTAAATCATGCACTCACCAAGTTATCTGCATGTTCTTGTGGAGAACATTTCTCTGGAGAGAAGAGGAAGACCTAAAATCAGGATTCTGCTCCTTGCCAGTACAGACAAAAAACTCAGAAATAGAAACACAGAGCACTTGGGACTTTGCTTCATTTTTGAACGCAGGGCTGTCTTTCGACTAGGAGAGTGGACAGAGACTCAGGAGAGATGTGGATTCCATTCCAGACTTAGATTTTGAGGAACTTGCATCTTTATGCCTTGATTTTCCATGATAAAATAAAATAGGTTGTCCCCCCATCATTCTTTCACTGCTTTATATGTATTTATTGCAGCTCTGTTGCCCAGTGTAGCCCTTAGCTGAAGTCTCTAGGCACTACTATAATGCTGCTCTAATGTGCTGCATCCCAGAGTAACTAAGAATTGGGACATGCGCATGGCCTGTGTAATTATTGTGCTAAATTGAAACATAAAGAAACTGCTACCCAAGGTCATGGATATTAATGTTTAGAGTTTGAGGGGCTCCTGGCTTGCCCATACTGCTGCAACTTCCTTGCTCCCATAGCCCTTTTATATCCCTTTGTGAATAGTTTCAAGTTCTCTCTCCCTCTTTAAAAACTCATTTTCACTTAATATGAAGATCAGAAGTGAGAAAAGCTTTCTCCCATAGTCAGCTCAGTCAGTCTTGAATATTTTGCTTGATGCTAGGCAAAGTTCTAGCACTTCAATTTTTCCTTCCGTTTCTGCTTGATTTTAATGACTTTTTGTGATGTGTTTGGCGAGGTTTTCAGTTCAGTCTATTCCAGTAATGGCCATAAAATGTTCACCTAACTTAGTAATGGGTTCCTGTGAGGTGTGTCTGGGTTCCTGCTATCCTCATACACAAGGCACAGGATTTGCATTGGCCTGAGAGCAGATGCACAGTTGACCCAAGTAACTGTTTGTCTGAGCTATTCCTCAGTTCACATTGGCAGACTTGAACTATCTGAGTACCTGGCCCATCAGCCATCAAAACCCAACAATACCAGGAGTTACGATGAATGTATAAAACATGACGGCATCTGTTCCATACCCGTTCTACTTACTGTTGCCATGGGGAGCCATAACTTTATATTTCCCATCTTTTTTGTTTATTTGACTTTTTCATCGTGTTGATGCCATTTCTTGGCACAGAGTAAATGGGAGGAACATTTATCTAATATTTTCGTTCCAGGAACTCAAACTAGCTCCTTCTTTGAAATTAGTTTTTTTTCCTTCTTAAGGATGCTCTTAACTGGAATATATTTAGTTGAGTTTTAGGGGGGAAAAAAGCTAGATTCTGATCACACAGTCTTTAAATAACCTCCGTAGAGCTGAAAACATAGTCGTCGTTTTCTATCTGGTACACAGAACAATTGCTTTCTATTGAAAGAGAATAAACTGCAAAGTTTTAAAAACCAGTCTGTTCAAGTTTCTCTCTCCTCGTCTTTACCTCCAGATCTGCTTTCACCTTTCTGTTTGCCATGTCCTGTGATGATGCTGCTCAGATACCCCAGAGCAGTGCAGAAGCAACTTTATTATTGTAGTGTTATGTTCCCTAGATAAAAGTTTTCACGGGGTTTTTTTTGAAAGCATAGATCCAAAGTTCCAAATTTGTTTTTCTTTTGTTTGCTTTCAATTCCTTAGGCTAGGGTTTTGATAATTAAAATATAAAACAGTCTTAACTGTGTGAGATACAAAGGGTGCCACGCATTTCATTGTAATATGAACATATATATATACACACACAGAGAGACATGTATATAAATATTTTTATATATATTAAGTAATTCTTGTCATAAAATTAGCAGGCTCCACCGTAAAGGTCTGTTGAATCTTTTGCTGTGGTTTGTTTGCTCCCATTAGTGCTAACAGTGGGCTGCTCTAAAACCTGTTTGCTCTGGTGCCTGGTTGCTCTGGTTGTCTGGTGTCTGCTGTCAGACAGCAATTGTATCCCTTCTCTCTCTCTCAGCTCTTTTTCTCCTAAGACAAACTCTTCTAATGTCTTCTCACAATGAAGAAGAGACAAGCAGAAGCTCTTACAGCAGGCTCTTCATTTTCATGATCGCCAAAGGAAACCTTTATCTTCTGCATAGTTGCATTATCTTGGTGTCTGATATTTATTCTGTGATGAACTAATGTGATGCCTGATAATGAAGTTTCTGACTGTAATCTCTAAGTGAATAATCATGCATTTTGTGCACTTGAATGTCTCAGATCCCCTTTCTACTATGTCAGTCCTCAAATATCAGGTGCTAATACTCTTTTTTTTTCTTATCTATCAGATACTACCCCTGCTTCTCTCATTAGCAAAGTCTATCTTTGCTACACTTGGTGCTAGATGCGATAAGAAAAAATTAAACAAAGTCTGCCCCAAGACTAATCATTGAGTAACTCTACTAGTAAGTTTTATCCAGCCAAATACTTTCTCATTCAAAACTATCTCTTGCTATTTTACTGGTAAACAGCTCTCTGCCCAGCTTTGTATCCCCCATCTGTCTTAGCCATTAGTCTCCACCACAGCACTCTGTCAAATGCTCTATGGAAAAAACAAGGCCAGTGAGAGCTACTGTATATTTTTTCTGTTTAGAAAAACTTGGATGCTCTCAGGGCTATTAATCTAAGCCCAGCATTTGCTACTCTACAAGTTCTGTGTCATGATCCCGGACTAAATAGTTATTAAAAGTATCTGTTACCAGAACTGAAATTGCAGTTGGCAGTATTGTACAGATCTGGGATGGAAGTTGTCCTTCTGACTTCAGCACATCACACTTAAGTTTTTCTTCCAACTTAGTCGTGTTTTCCATTTATAACCCTGCAATTACGATCTCTCCTCCCTTTTGCCTCTACTGTGGCAGTAGCGATTATCTGAAGAGAAATAACCTGTTCCTTCAGTTCCAGAGTAATGCAGGTTTTAAAGTTTCTGTTATCCTCGGGTGATATAGGGTGACTTAGAGTAATTTCTATCCTTATTCAGTATTTTTATCATTCATTTGGATATGCGTTTCTCATGGACTTAGTACCTTAGAGTGAAAGGAATTCAGTTCTCCAAGGAGATCTTTGCCTTTCCTCCATTACTGGCTTTACATCTTTATTCTTTATCTGAAAGTCTGTGTTTCCAGATAAACAGTGAATTATCAGCTAGAATTACTAGCACTATTACCCACATCTGTACTGATTCCCAAACTCAACCCTGAGGCATTGTAGCGAACTACCCAGCATTACTCAGTACAATGTCTTTATCCTTCTACAGAGCCATTTTTTTTCTTGTTATACTTTTATTTTTAAAGTTTACCCTTCGCAGTGCAGCATTGCTAACACACAGCTCTGTCCTCCACTTCCACAACTTTTATATCTGTCCTTCTGCATTTTATTTAAGACACCAGTCCCAGTCACTACTGCTATCCTATCACACCCCTGCTATTCTTACAATACTCAGTTTAATTACTGTTGTAGTATCCAGTAGTCTCAGTTCTAGTGCTGTCCCAAGTTTCTGGAGTTTGTACAGGAGTGCGTCACTTGGTGGCTGTTGGCAACTTCCTGCTCTTCTTTGGGATCAAGTGCTGCATTAATTTGCAGAACCATCACAACTACTTTTCTCATCATTTCTAATAATTGATAACAGCTTTACTCCAAGAAGGGTGGAAAAGTATGTGTCTGGAGGAGTGAGAAATAGACCTTAAGGTGAACAGAATTTTAACAGCACATTAGGTTTACAGTTAGTTTTGTTGTCCTCAGAATTGTCAGAAGTCTGGGGAAACGCTTTGCTTTGAACACAAGTGGAAACCAAACGTGACTGTCAACAGATGAGCAGTACTGCTGACCAAACACACTGTGCTGTGTGCACAAAGTTGGCAAACTGAAAAAAAATGTGTTTTGTTTTTTTTCTAATGTCTTTCAGTTGCAGTAAACGTGTGTTTCTTTTAACAATAGCAGGTACACAACAGTTTCAGAAAGAATTGTTGATGGTGGCCTTAAAACATCTCAACAAAACTTTGGCCATACCTCCTAGAAAAACAATTCTCGTTCTTTTCTAAATAGTGTCCTGCAATTCCATCCAGCTGAAGAAACAAAGTGGTCCTTTAAATGTTGTGCATGTGACTTTCCTAAAACACAATCAATCTAGTGTGATGATTCCTCAATTTAAGAAATTTATTCACAGCTCGGCAGGGTTTCACCCATGTAGATTTGTGAAGGCAATGGTTTGGAGCATGCAGCACTGCAAGAAATATCGTTCACGTGTCAATAGGTCTTCAAGACAATTTAAAGAATAATATGTAGCTGAATCTGAAATGGCTGATCTATGCTCAGATTTCACTGCTTTGTTGCACTGATAGTGATCAATATGTTGGAAAGTCCTATCACACACTAAAGAAGTAGCAGGCATTCTTGATACAATTGATAAGTATAAGAAAATCTCAACTATTTCTGCGGTTTTGCCATAGCATTACTGTAGCTCAGTGTGTGGGAACTGGTAGTGGGAACACAATAAAACCTCTGGGAATAAGATTTACAGTCTCTTTGCGAGTCCAGATTTCAAAAGTTCCCACAACAGCTTTCTGGAGTTTAGCCACTTTACATCTGAAAAACCAGTGCTGTCAGAAACTATTCTACTTGCCCCTGTTGTTGATAGTACCTGTAATGAGTAGGACTGAAAGGTTTTCATCGCTTCCTTTTCTTTATTCTTCTTTCCAGTCTTGTTATGCCTGAGGTAGCCCTGTGTGCAAGTTGTCCTCGTGCTGTCACTTAGCCAGGAAGAAACAGAGGAAGGAGCCTCATAAATTTCTACAGAGGAGCTGTGATCCTTCTAATTCTTCATTTTTAGGGCTCGTTATTATCACCACCCACTGAACAAGTGATTCTTCAGAAAATAAATTAGCTCAGCTTTTAAAAATATCAGGTTTTTAAAAAAAAGTTTTGAATAAGTATTGATGTTAACAACAAAGTCCTATTGTTCAAGATAATATAGTAGCACAGTAGGTAATGTGGGAAACCAAAAATTCACTGTGTTTGTATATATGTGTTTTAATCTGATTGGAAATATTACTGAAACATAGTTCACAATCCAGTGGAAACCTTCTACAGGGGCTGGGGGGAAATACTGCTAGAGTTTGTGTAGCCACAGAAAATTTATGGTGCCTGGCCTCATGGTTGGAAACGATCTCAGAAGTACATATTTACCCATTTTCCCTGCTCTTACCTCAACCCAGATGTGGCAATAAACATGTATATGAGGTCTTTTATTCCCTTGAAATTAATCAAGTGATGCTTCAGAGTCACCAGCACTAGCAGCAGGTAGAAGGATCACTCACTGGCTGAGAGGGCTTAGTACATCTACTTGGATTTTAGGCTTTTCTCAAATTCTAACCAAATTTACTAACTCATTTACTAACTCAAGGGGGAAACCTGCTGTACGTATCTTTTATCATCTGTTGATGTAAAGGCATTTGTAGTGTAACCAAACAGCTTTGCTTTTATAGCTCCTCAGACTGGTCTGGGTTTTTTGATTACTTTTGGTTGAAAACCCTTCACTAAGTTGTAAAAAAATGGATTGACAGTGTCACTTCTATTATTGAAAGCAATATATATTTACTCAAAGATAATGAAACTGTATTTCCTATCGGTTTTCTGGCATGACATCACAGAGAAGGAAGCGTAACTGTGAAAAAGATTGCATAACTGAAAAAACTCAAGAAAGTGCTACAAATGATGACAGAGACCATAAAGAGCAGTGACTTTTAAAAAACAAAACCTCAAACCAACTCATATCTGGACATCAGTGTTGCATCACACTAGTGTATTTTTAGAAACATTTGAAACCCAGCTCTCCTGGAGGCTATCCAGTGGCTCTGTCATGAATGCTTATGTGAAATTCACTGGGTTTCCTTGAGATCCTACACTTGTCCTGGCTGAGTGGAAAAACATCTTTGCAGGCACCCTGGGGCTGCAGTGACCACTGCTGCTTACTGTCACAAGGGCCAGTTGGGTGTCCGACACAGGGCTCCTGTCACAAGTGGCACCGTGTCCCCAGCTAGTGGCCATGAAGCCTGCAGCACTACATTCCCGGGAACGTTTGGTGCCTGCGTGGTGAGCTTGTGGCCTCATGGGAAATGTTGTCATTGTAGCTGTCTGTTCTTTGCAAGGAAAAGAGATTATGAATTCCCATGCTTGTCAATCGGGCAGCTTTCCCCAGCACTGAATTTTAGCAGGCTTTTTAAAATTTCTTTTTAAAAAAAATAATTTAAGGCATCATAACACTTGACATTTAACTCTCTGGTTACCATGGAAATAACACCAGATATTTTGCAAACTCCTGACCGGTACAAGTTGCAGTGAATAGTGGAGAATCAAAGTAAATAGG